CCATGCCCAGCTAATTTTTTGTATTTTTAGTAGAAACGGGGTTTCACCATGTTGACCAGGATGGTCTCGATCTCTTGACCTCGTGATCCACCCGCCTCGGCCTCCCAAAGTGCTGGGATTACAGGCTTGAGCCACCGCGCCTGGCCAAAAAAGACTTTTTTTAAAAGCTTTTTATTTAGAAAATGTTTTAACCAGAGAGAATTTGCAAAACTAGTACAATGAATTTGCACCACTGCATTCCAGCCTGAGAGACAGCAAGACATACTCATTTATCTAGGTTCATCAGTTGTTAAATTTGCCACATTTTTTCTCTCTCATGTATGTATGTGTGTGGGTGTGTGTGTGTGTAGGTGTAAAAGCTCTTTGCCTCTCCACACATACACACATTCTCATATGCATATGTATGTGTATATAATTTTTTTGTTTTTCTTTTTTTTTTTGAAATGGAGTTTCACTCTTGTTACCCATGCTGGAGTGCAATGATGCGATCTCGGCTCACTGCAACCTTTGCCTTCCAGGTTCAAGCTATTCTCCTGCCTCAGCCTCCTGAGTAGCTAGGATTACAGGCACCCACCACCACATCCAGCTAATTTTTTTTTTTTGTATTGTTAGTAGAGATGGAGTTTCACTGTGTTGGCCAGGCTGGTCTCGAACTCATGACCTCAGGTGATCCACCTGCCTTGGCCTCCCAAAGTGCTGGGATTACAGGGGTGAGCCACTGTGCCTGGCCCTGTTTGTTTGTTTTTCTGAGACAGAGTCTTGCTTTGTCACCCAGGCTGGAGTACAGTGGCACCATCTCAGCTCACTGCAACCTCTGCCTCCAGGGTTCAAGCAATTCTCCTGCCTCAGCCTCCCTAGTAGCTGGGATTACAGGCACCTGCCACCATGGCTGGCTAATTTTTGTATTTTTGGTAGAGATGAGGTTTCACCATGTTGGCCAGGCTGGTCTTGAACTCCTGACCTCAGGTGATTTGCCCGCCTCAGTCTCCCAAAGTGCAGGGATTACAGGTGTGAGCCACCACACCCAGCCTATATATGCATTTTTTGGTGAACCATTCTTCTGAACCACTGGAAATTATTCACAGACATCATGGTACTTCACCTCTTAATACTTCACCATATCTCTTCTAAGAATAATTATGTTTTTCTACATACCCACAATACAATTATCACATTCAGAATTTCTAACATCGGCATAATAATGTTATCTAATACACAGTTGTACTCAAGTGTCTTCAGTTGTCCCAATAATGTCCTTTATAGTTGTTGGGGGGTTTTTTTGTTTTGCATTCAATTCAGGATCAAATGAAGCACATGCATTGCGCATAATTGTCATGTCTCTTTAGTCTCCTTTAATCAGAACAGCTCTTCAGCCTTTGTTAGACTTTTATGACACTAACATTTTTGAAGAACACAGGCCAACTGTTTTGCAATGTCCCTCTATTTGAAGTTGATTTTTTTCTTCATTGTTTAAAATGTTAAACGTTTTGACAGGAAAACTGCCTAAGCAATATTATGGCCTTCTCAGTATATCATATCAGGAGGCACATGATGGCAGTTTGTCCCATTATTAATGATGTTAATTCTGATCATTTGATTAAGATGGTATTCACATGATGTCTCCATTATAAAATTACAAAAATTCCCTTTTGTATTTAATTAGTAACGTGGGGTGATAATTTGAGACTGTGTAAATATCTTGCTCTGCAATAAGCTTTCATGCATTTATATTAACATCCATTGAAGATTCTTGCCTAAATTAATTAGAGTAAATTAATTATTACTCTGATGGTTGCAATACAAAGTGCTATTACTTTAAAACAGAGGCGATACCTCATATGGTAGCAGACTAAATGAATCATTGACATATATATTAAAAGATATTTGATATGCTGGAGTAAATTCAGTAAATTGTATTGAAAGGAATGTGTCTTTCTTTAGGCATTTTCCAAACTTACCTTTAACAGTTTTGCTTCATTTTTTTGCAATTTAATATCTATTTCACTTTTCAAGACCCTTTTATAAGTATTTTCTACTTAGTTACAAGAGATTCCTATGAAAAATATTAACTATTCAAATGGTATTAAGCTAAGTTAAAGAGATTGAGGAGGAGAAATCAATCATTTATTCATTCAATGAATATTTATTGAAAATCTACTATGTAGATTGCCAGGCACAGTGGCTCACACCTGTAATCCTAGCACTTTGGGAGGCCGAGGTGGGTGGATCACCTGAGGTCAGGAGTTCAAGACCAGCCTGGCCAACATGGTGAAACCCTGTCTCTACTCAAAATACAAAAATTAGTCACTTGTAATTCCAGCTACTCGGCAGGCTGAGGCAGGAAAATTGCTGGAATCCGTGAGGCAGAGGTTGCAGTGAGCCAAGATCCCGCCTCTGCATTCCAGCCTGGGCGATAGAGTGAGACTCTGTCTTAAATAAAATAAAATAATAAAATAAAATCTACTATGTAACAATATTCTGACAATTCACTACTGAACAAAAAAGACAAAAATCCTGGCCTCGGCCAAGCACAGGCACAGTGGCTCACACCTTGTAACCCCAGCACTTTGGCAGACTGAGACAGGAGGACTGCTTGAGCCCAGGAGCCTAGGCAACATAGAAAGAACTTGTCTCTACAAAAAAATAAAAAATTAGCCAAGCATGGTGGCATATTCCTGTAGTCTTAGCTACTTGGGAGGCTGAGGCAGAAGGATTGCATGAGCCTAGGAAGTCAAGGCTCCACTGAGCCATGTTTGCAGCACTACACTCCAGCCTGGGCAAGAGAGTGAGAACCAGTCTCAAAAAAAACCTTGGCCTCTATAGAGAAGGAAAATAGGCCAGGTGTGGTGGTTCACGCCTGCAATCCCAGCACTTTGGGAGGCCAAGGTGGGTGGATCACCTGAGGTCAGAAGTTCAAGACCAGCCTGGCCAACATGGCAAAACCCCATCTCTACTAAAAATATAAAAATTAGCTGGGGGTAGTGGCATGTGGCTGTAATCCCAGCTACTTGGGAGGCTGAGGCAGAAGAATCATTTGAACCCGGGAGGCGGAGGTTGCAGTGAGCTGAGATCATGCCACTGCACTCCAGCCTGGGTGACAGGGCAAGATTCTGTCTCAAGAAAAAAAGAAGGAAAATAAATGATGTCCATTCAACTCAAAATTTTAGTCTTGGTAAGTCACACATTGTCTATAGTATAGTCCTTGAGTGGGTAAGGCAATCATCTCTGTTTTATGGGGTGTCTTTCATATACAGGACATGAAGTGCTTCACAAAGAGAATAATTTTAAACTGAAGAGAAATGGAAGATTTTTAAGGCTTGCTTTAAAAAGAGAAAATGACTCATTGGCTCAGAGGGAGGAAGTGGGTTGCATCCAAATAAAACAGTACAAGTTAAAAGCAATGTTCTTTCTTCAGGTGTTGGAAGGGAACATTGAAGAGGCCAAAGCTGTCACTCTAGAATTAGAAGGCAAAGGAAATCAGTGGAAATTGGGTCAGATAAAGGTTCTTTTTCTTATATTTGTAGAAAGTTTCAAAAAGAGTAAAATGATTTTGAATTAA